CAACAATAGGGGGATCACACTTCTCCTCCTCCCTGGGAAGTTCTACGCCAGCAAAAAAGCTCTACACCGTCCACAGGATTCTCAAAAGTTCATGAGTTTCCACAAGCGAGCCACATGTGTTTTGTGGTCCTGTAGGAGACAATTTGACCGTGTCACACGTATAGCCCAATTGAGTCAGGGGCCTTTTATTAGACGTCGCTCCACTGTAGAAGTGGAGTAGGCCTTTGGTCTGCATTGGTGGATAATTAGGTTTACAAAGAGCTGGAGGGTGTCAGGTTTTTGGACCGGTGAATTTTGTCTCTGCTTTTTGCTCATGGTTTACTCCCTCCTGTTAAAATCTACAACATGTGCCATCCAGGATGAGTCCTTAAAGTCCTAGGCCATTCTTTGCAGGAAAAATGTGGCCGTCCCTCTTAGGTACAGAGGAGAGTTTCTGCTGCAAGTGAAGGTGTTCAAATATCAAATATCGACGGGAATGATGTGAGAATAGAGCTAAGGACGAATAGAAGGATTGGTGTGGCTGCTGCTATAATAACACTGCATAGGTTTGTTGTGCTGTAGAGAGCTGAGCCAAAGCCTGCACAGCAAAAACTGAAGTGTGAGTATTTAATATCTTCTTTAAAAAGGGAACTTTTTTATTGTTTCGAGTCCATGATATTTAATTATGTTATTTTAATTTTTGCTGCTTTCCCGACTAACAGACTGTTCAGGCAGGAAGCCGGTAGAGCAAGAGTAAAGTTGATCCAGTCAAGTTTAACGGCAATAGCAACTTTCAACTCATGGCTTGCAGCACTAAGATGGTTTTGGGCTCAAATATTGCTCAAATAAATTAACATCAAATGTGAAGATTTACACAGTATCATAAAGATAGCACAATGAGGACAAAGTTTTACAAGTGCTTTGTGTTCTGACTCAAACAAGAAAAAAAAAGTCAATTTTGTGAGGTGACTTTGTGAAACAGAGGAGGAAAAAAAAAAAAGAAAAATGAAGATTTATTTTCATTGCCCATTATTTCCCTGAAATTAATCCACTAACTGCTTTACAGTCGTGGTTTAGTATAGCCAATTTCCGTATAGGATAGCTCACAAATGTTTAATTACAGAGATATGCAGGTTTCTGACTCTACCATTGTGGGGAGAGACTCATGCAAGAAGAGGAGAAATAGAAGATCCCCTGAACAACTTAATCCCCCACATAATCCCTAACTTTAATTTAGTCAAATTCTTGTTCACACAAATAAAGCTACACAGAAACCAGAGCAGTTTGTATCAGCATTACTCAATGGGAGAAGGAAACTGTGTACAAGTGCAGTAATGTAATTTCTTTTTATGTAGCAACTGCAATGTCCTTCATGCTGATGTCCCTTTGTGTGTCCCGAATCTGGAAAAAAAAAAAAAGCCAAACCCATTACCAAATGCTGTACTGTTGCTCTGCTGCTGAGACAAAAAAATGAAGACATTGTGTACCATTGTGGATACGTCTGGAATAGCATTTTATTTACACATTTATAGTGATTTTGACTTGAGTTTTAAATGGAAATGGCAGATTTTTATATTATTGTGGGCTATGTTTTGAATACAAAGCTCAAAAAAGGATTAGAGGAAATTAGATCATGATGATAAATATACACAAACACTTTAAATACTACCAAATCTCTTTTTATGAGCAAAATCTAACACTAAAACAAGAAAACAAGAGCCTTCTGTTGTCCTCTAACAAACTGTGACTTATCATCATTTTCAACTTGGTATGTTTGGTCTTTTAAGAGTGATTACTATTGTTGTAATAAATTAAATATTTCACAGAGTGTGGTATCAGGGTGCTTTGTTCTTGAAATGTTTGCATAAAACAGTTGGTTTGCTGTCAGAAATGAAAGGACTATTGCAGGAAGAAATACTTTTTAAATATTTCATTTATTTTTTTGTTTTTTATGTGCTCTGACCTTTCCTTTAAAGAATGTTTTTACTCCAGTTCAGTTTTTTGTTCAGATAATCAATAATTATAATTAGACGAATTTAGTATTTCAGCAAAATTGTGAATTCACTATTTCAGTCTCAGTTGGATGATCTTTGCCTGCTGAAGTCAACCACAATGCAGTATAGCTTTGCTGTCTTACTATGGCAGTTATCCAGGAACTTGGTGAAAGCCTTTGGAGTTGATAAAGAATTATACAATATTGAGTGTGAACAGGAACTGCACACCTGTGCTGCAGACCAGTTTGTCAGACAGAAAGCTGAGGTTTTGAACCCTTGCTACTCTGGCCAAACTGAACTACATGGAATGTAATTCAGTCTATGCCTGTATGAGCATGCTCAAAATTTCTTGCAAGTTGCCATATGTCTATGTGTGCCAGCATGCTTCAGTGGGCGCATAACTTATACAAAATGTACCCATAACTTATCCAATTTACGCCAGCGTTTTGCCACTATTTTCGTATATCGGCATAGGCTGGCTAAATCATCAAGGTGTAACAGCACCATGAAAAGATTAGTTGTTTTCATTGAGTGCACCTTCAACACCACTGAGTTTTTTAGACCCTCCCACCAAGTTCTTCTCTCACAATAATTCCAGTTCTAGTCAGTTCCTGTTACTGCAGAGTCCACTGTATTTACTTGTAAATAAATTCTTTGAAAGTTTGCCACTTGTGTTAGCTGATTTATCGGTTCTCCAAGTTTCTAACAGGCATTACATAAAAGGTCCCCCTTGTGGCCCTTTTCTGCTCAAGTTCTGTTCAGCTCAAGTTCTAGTATGTACGAATTGAATAACAGTTTTCCTTCTGAAAACAGAACATTTATGTCATAAAAACTGTTAATATATGAGAAATGTGTTTATTGTTTTGACAAGTTGGTTTTAGAACTACATCTAGCGAGGAGAGCAGGCGTTGTGTTTATAGCTCAGCAGAACTGGTTAAAGGGTTATTGTGCCTTAAATACAATTTTTTGATTGTAATGAAATGAGAGTGTTTAGCAGAGAAACTTCTAAAATGTGCAGGCCAGAGGGTATTTAGGAACAGGGATAAAAAAAAAAAAAAACGATGTAGCGTATTGAGCAGTCAACATCAGTCATGCTGAACTGAGAGGGAAGAATGGTATTAGCAATAGAAGAAAAGAAACCCAAAGATGACCCATTTTGTAATTTTGTAGATCCTCTTAAGACCAGATCATTATAGTAAAAAAAACGCTATTTACATTTAAAGGCTGAACATTTTATTTCTCACTAATCTCTTTGTGCAATCAGAGTGTTTGCAGTTGATTGACACTATTTACCAGTCATCCCTGAGCCGTCCCATACCAGGCAAATGGGATGACCAACCTGTACGTTACCTAGATATATAGAACAGTTTATAATATAATATACAGCAAACAGCGCGCTACAAAATTGCAATTTGAAGCAAGAAGACTATTTCAAAAAGTAATCTGAGCTTTGACTTTACTCTTAAAAGGACAAGATCCCTGAATGAGTCAGCTTTTCCAAATATAATGCATTTTATTCAACAGTTCTGCATGTGTTTGATGCACAAAAGTGTTATGGAAATTATTTTAAGCAGGCTCTGCACACTATGGCTGACCTCTTTATTTTGTTGGCCTTCACAGAGACCAACCAATGAGATTGACGAGACAGATTAAAGGTTTGCTCTTCTGTCTAAGGAAGCCAGCAGGTTTCATTGATAAGCCAATAATGGGTCAAGATTCAGGATGTTTTGACAATAAATCAAAGATGAAAATCTTACTTATTGTTATGTTTCAGTTTAAAAAAAAAAAAAAAAAAAATGCATAATACTGTTGACCTGAGCAGGTAATCTTATATCCGAGTTGTATTTAGTAAAGGATATATTAGGTAAGATATTAACACTGATGGCCTAAAGTTTGCAAATGTACGTCATGTTATCTTTTACGATTCATATACCTTTTTTGGTTGAAAAGGGAATATTCAGGCTTGTCAATATCCAACTGAGTTTGCAAATAAAAAGTTTAGGTTTAAAACATAAATAAATTATCTCTGAAGCTCTAGCTAGTAAAAATAAGGGCTAAAAACATTTTTGTGATTTGAAATAGGCTTTTACAGGTTTAGTGGCACCTGTAGCCAATGTTCTACCAATGGAAAGAAACTGTCAACTTGGCACTCACCTCACCTCATAAAACTTAATTACTCACTGTTCACTATCGTAACTGAAAGCATCACTGCAGAGTTTATTAACATTTAGCCACTTCACAGTGTAAGAAACAGCTGTTTTAAAGAGGACTATATGTCTAAATCAATAGGAATTGAAAAAGTGAACAAAAAGTGGTGGTGAGGTTAGATATTTTCCCTTTACTGATTTAAATTACATTTAATTCACTACGAACAATAAAACCACAAAAAGTCTCCAAAGGGACCTCATGATACTGATGAGATGTAAACACTTCACAGTTAAAGAGATTAAAAAAAAAAGGTAATTATAAGATATCCAACAAAATCAGTGGTATAATATAACATTTACATCAGAGGTTCATACTCCAGATTTTAATAGTAGAATAGTTTTATTTTCATAAACTGAATGAATCCATTATTGCAGCAACGTAGTCTAAGAAGGACAATTAAAATAAGTTTTTAATCAAAATTGAATATTTTCTTTCAGTGGGTTTTATCAGTATAGCAAGCTAGTACTGTAGTATCATCATTTGTTGCATTTATGATAACATATGTGACCAGCTGATGGCTCCTGCTCCACACAATCTGTTGTCTTTCAATTGATTATACAGTAGCTGGAGTTAGGGCTTGAGGTCCCACCTCCAGCCATGATGGTCACATGCTGTCCTGCTATTTACAGTTACTGTGTGACACTGTCACATTAATAATCTAAGCGACATATAAAAGAGACAGAAATAAATATATTAAGGAATGAATGATTGAATATGCAAAAAATGTATTAAATCATCATCAACTGTTGATCATCTAGAACACAGACCAGCCTAACTTGTAAAAAAAGGTGTTTATGTGGGTTTGCGCTTCTTCTTCAGAAGTTTTAAAGTTTGCCTGAAAAAAGTTGAGATTCTGGGCTTTAGTGGAAGTTTTGTTCACTCCATGGCCAAGACAAGGGTAAGGCCTTAAAGGCACAGAGCTGCTGTTTTTGTTGCTTTTAACAGTTCTCTATGGTGGATAGATTTAGAAGACACTTTCTTTACTTTATGTAGAATACCCAATGAGATGTTTTGTTATAGTACTGTTTTGTGTTTTGGGCAAAACATGTGTGTCTGGACAGCTGATTTCTGTATGTAAATGATTTAAATTGTTATGAAATAAAGTGCACCCTAACTACATGTAATTCTAAAAGTTGACATAGTTTATAATGTGCAAATAGTAAATGAATGTTCTTAACTTTCATGAAACCTCTTAGGTTTCCAATTTATATTTCTGGTTAAAGTCAGAGCTGATAGATGTGTTTTACAGTTTAATGTAGGCTACATAGCATTAGTACAGATATGCAAAGTAAAATTGTGAAAGCTTTTTGGTTTGACCTGTGTTGGCATTTGTGATTTTTAATATTTTTGTGGTTATTAGTGTGGTTTTTTAGGCACTGCAGAGTTCTGTAATGTCCAAGGCTTGTTATTCTCTCTAATATTTGGCCAATACATTCCTCTTCCTTGATGTAACACCGGCAGGAAGCAGATTTAGGATCATGTTCAGATTTGTTCCAGAGTTCAGATAGTTTCCAAACTTCGTTCAAATTTCAAATTAAAGATACATACGAAAATGCTTTAGTATCATTCATATAAACCAACATTTACAGGCCTTTATAAACATTTATGATGCTCATGGCTGTGTTAAAACTATATATTTCGTTAATGTAACTTTTAATCCACTCTTTCAATTTTCTCAAATTAATCGATTTTCTAAATTTTAATTCCTTCATTAGCAAGAATGCGTACAGTATGTAACTATCTGCATATTTATCATTTAAAATCCAGTTTAAGCCTCATAAATTTTCTTTAGATCTAATTTGAGGCATGCTAATCCACTAACTTATAACAATAATTGCTTTTGGGCATTTACAGAATTGAGGGATTAACTTTGCTCATGTATCTCTCTTGGCTTGTTTCATCTAATCACTTTAACTGAGATTTACTTTAAAGTTTCATGGAGATTTGTCCACTTGAATATCGGCTGCTTCTTTTCCTGCAGGGTTACGAAGATGGATATGATGAAGAATACGAAGATGAGAGTTACGGAGACTATAATGAAAACTACATCTCTCAGTCAAAAAGGTGATTTTTACACAGATACACAGCTGGATAAATATTTCATCCACTGAAGTAAACATTGGCATTGCATCAAATAATTGTGGCTTGGCGAACCCAAAAGGCTATTTTTCAACTTCCTTCTTTTTTCAGGAAACTTTAGTGATGTTTTTTTATATCAATGGAGTTATATCTCTATAACTCCATTGGATAAAAACATTACATTTTATGTTTATTTTTTTAATTTTGGTGCTCCATTTAAAGAGTTCCTGGGTTGTTCAGTGAAAAAACTAACATTGGCTGCAGCGGACAGCATTACTATCCTCCCCTTAGCTTATACTGGTGATACACACAGATGCTGTAGGTATTTGCATGCTATAAATCAGAGTGCTGCTGGGGCACTACTTATTTGTGTTAAAAATAAGCCTGTTTGATTCATAAGAAATCTCAAATACGGTGGCCCTGCAGTACACACTACTTCAACAAATCTTTAAACACAATTTAAAATTAAAAAACAAACCATATTTAAAACCACAATAACATTTGAAAACACAGCAACATCTCAAAAAACAATATAAAAAAATCAAAAAACATTTTCAGAAACACGATAACATATTCAAAAAACAACAACATATTCTTTCTAAATGAGCAAGCATAAAAAGAAGGATATGAGAATATGTTGTATGTGTTTTAAGGTTTGTTGATGTGGTTTGCACTTCAGGGCCACCATACGGAACCACATGGTATGTCCTGCTGCACAATTGTAATGCAAAATGACATGGAATCAATATCGTGTTATCAACAATTTATTGTTCAGTTATGTTTTATTATAAGCATGCCACAATGTTTAAGTCATAGTGTTTTTCATTTAGGTTTAATTGCCTATTTTTGTTTCATATATTTTTCTCTAAAAGTATTATTCAACTGTTATTTCTTGCAGCACACACATGTTCAAAGACTTTCTGTCTCCATCCTGTCATTGTAACAAGGCATCTTTTATGCAGATTAGCTTTTACATAGATTAACTTTGCTGTTAAGTATGAATATATTTATACATATGCCAACCTTCTAAATATCAGGTCCTTGGTGGACCAACAGAGTTACAGTGTTATATTTATATCAAAGCATATTCATGTTTTGGGATGGCCAAGTCATAATCCTGGCCCAGATCTAGATGTAAATTCTAAAGTCATAATAAAGACCTCTGCCCAGAATGTCAAAATTTGGATTTTGCAAAGATAAAAACTTAACAAATTCATTTCAGATGTGCGATGATGGTGCAAAGATGGCACAAAAAAAAAAACTGAATAAAAAAACAAAAATAAGTTCTACAAATGTCTGCATCAGTGAGGCTGAATAAAAAAAAAATCAACACAATCTAAATTAACTATTGTCATTGTTTTGGTTATGTTTAGTTTTTTTTTTTAATTATTATATCTAAATCTTGTTTTGTTTTCACAGTGTTTTAGAATATCATAAATATGGACACGGAAGCAGTAATGAATCGTACAACAGCTATGGTAAGTGCGGCTCATCTGGTCCTAGAAACAGTGTTGTTTTAATGAGGTTTATACTCATGATCCAAATGACTCCCCCTCACCTTTTATTACTGATAAAACACCCAGTGTGCAGTATTTTTATTCTAAAAAGTTCAAAATAAGATCAATATTAAAGCGGAATATGGGTTGATTATTTAATAAGCAACCAGTAGAAATCATTATATAACTTTATAACTTTAATTAAGTCCTATATCATGTAAAAAAAAAAATTCTTATTGTTTAATTCACTGTATGATTTATCAAGACCAGAGGTGGACATAGTACCCAAAAATTGTACTCAATTAAAAGTAGAACTACCTCATGTTTTTATTCAAGTAAAAGTGAGAATAAGCCAACAAATGTCTCAAGAGTGAAAAATTATTTGGATAAAAATGCTACTTAAATACTGAGTAACTACTCTAATTGCCACTCATGGTCATAGCAACTAATTTAATATGTTAAAAATAGTGCTAACTTACACAAAATATGACTTTATATGTACATCCGGATTTAAGGAATGAGATAGATTAATATCTAACTTACTGTAATTACAACAATTTTATGTGAAGGAATCACTTTAAAATACTAAATTCTAGTTATAAAACTAACAAAATCAACAGTTACAGTGCTTTAGTATACAATAAATTTACAATATGATATTTACTGGTCTCAATATGCTTTTCACTTGACCCTAAATGACACAGCAGACTCAGCAGATGGAAAATATAGTAGGTTGGTAGATATATGATGTGTGTACTTATGTTGAATTTTTGTTTACAAAAAAGCTTTTTTTTTCCTTAAATGGAGTTACTCAAAGTAGCCAGAAGTTTTACTCAGTTTACTAAGTTGGAATAGTCATAATTTTATATATTTTTACTCAGGTAAAAGACAAAAATAAAATGAATCCAAAAAGTTATTTTAAGTAAATGTAACTGAGTTAATGTAACTAGTTACTAACCAGCTCTGATAAGTGAGCTGCTCTGCTTATGAGAACTGTTAACAAGTGTCATGCCTAATGATATCTGGCATCAGAAGTGTTCCTTTGAAACTGTAAAAAAAAAAGGCTATTGACTAATTTGACTAATATTTCAGATATTTCCAAAATTTATAGCCACATTGTTGGATTACACAAACATGGTGCCAGTTCATGTAATTCAAGCAGCTGCTGCACTGTTACTAAAAACAACCAAGGGACAAAGAATAAAAGCCCTGGATTCCACTTCCTGACCCAGACAGACGCTCCTTTACACATAACACCTCCTACGATACCTGACTGCAAGCTGCATTTAACTTGAACTTTGAATTTGCCAGTGGAAACTCACAAGGCCACAAGCTGTTTTTCCTTCTGGGGGTTTTGCCCTCAAAGGCATTTCTTCGTACAACTGTTCTTTCCTTTGCTGTGTGCACATGAATCGCTCTTGGACGCTTTTGCACACCACCTTATCTTAGACTTCTTTAAGTCTAAAGCAGCTTATTTTTGGTTATTTCCTCAGCAAGAAAACTTTAATTCAAAAGGGTGTATATCTCATCATATTTTTTGAGCCAGAAAACCTTAAAATGTTCAAAGTGTTTAGAAATTGGTGGAGCTAAATCACACTCTCTCCGCCATTGGTTTCAAAGCAGATAGCTAATTTTAAAGCATACGCTTCTCAGAAAAGAAAACCCTTTGAAACCCCACCCTCCTCCCAAAAGAAAACAGGCCACCATACATGGACAATAACGTTTTGTCTGTAACAGAACTGTCTTGACAGAAAAAAATGATGTTCTATGTCTGAGCCCATTACAGTATATGTTCTTATGGACAACTAAAAGGATGTGACATAAACTTTGATGCAAAGAAATAAACTGAACTCGATGGCAGTATATACAAGCTTAGAAGGAAGAAATTCTCCTTCAAAATAAAACAACAAAAGCCCTCTTTCTTAGAAACAGGTTTTTGCCACTGTATTAAGAAAGCAACTGAGAGGGAGATTAAACTTTATTTCAGCTGTGGGACACATAGCAGGGAGTAATTAGCTTAAAAATGAGGTGACTGTGGGTGCTTGTTAGCATAAAGTCTACTAGTAATAAATGCAGTCTTTACTGATGCTTAGCTGTAGATTGTTGTTTCATTGTCTGACTTAAATAACAGTATTACAGTGCAGATGCAAAGTGTTTTTTTTTTATCCGACCACATCTGTAGCATATGGTTGAATTATGCTTTTAGAAAAAAAAAAACAGTATTTCAGTGGCATAATACGCAATCTCTATTTCATTAGTGTAGTTTAACACTCAAAAAGAAAATGTACAGGTTAGGTTACGGAAAGTGACGAGTGATGAGTGCAATGCTCGCTAATATAGCATCTTCTGAAGATACATGAATTTGAAGATGGACGAGGAGATTACATAGTCCGGTTGCAGATTAACAATATTCTGCATTAGAGAGATTTAAGGAATTAATAAAGGTAAACCCTAAAACTAAATTTATTTAATATAAGAAATGCACGTGAGCATGAAATTTGCAACTATGTGTAACTGACTGGCTTGAAAACAAGAACATACAAGTTAATTATGCAGAAATAAAATAATAATAATAATAATAATAAAATAAATAAAATGCAGAAATACAGTTAAATTAGGTATGGTCGACTTAACAGCTATTGTTCAGTTTAACCTTTACCGACCGAGTTACGCAGCTTTAATTGGCTATATGTTAAAAAAACACAATTAGAAAAGTTAAAATAAGTTATAGCTTGGTTCATGAGTAAATACGAAAAAGAGTAGAGATCATTTATACTTTCAGTTGTTGGGAACTTTTCTCTTAATAATCAAGAGGACATGTGACAATAGAACGTCAAAAACTGTTTATGTGTGTGTGTCCGTGGGGGATAATTTAATTAACTAAATTACAAAATTGTAAATGTTTTTGATTCTGTAAAAATTCAAAAAATATCCACTGGACTTTGTTTCCAAGATTTGAAGATGTTTCGCCACCTCTCCAGGAAGCTTTGGAGAGGTGAAACCAAGTCCAGTGGATATTTTTTGAATTTTGAATTTTTTGAATTTTTATGGAATGACTATGACCTGGATGACTGAGAACCTTCATCAGCAAATGTTTTTGAAGCTTTCTGGCTCCAAAGTATCATTGTAATATATATTTGATAAAAGAAAAAAGCTTTTTAATAATTAAAGAGTTAAAATTTTTGATTCCTTCAATCTCAGTCTGGAACTAAGCCCTTATGTCCCACACGGCAGGTAGCGGCTCTCTCTCCTCTAATGGTGAAAGCTGATGTCTTATAGAAATTGTAGTTGATTTGATGGGCATCTCCGCTGCATACTGTAGCACCAAATTTTTAATAGTTTGCCCTCAGCATAAAAACAATATGCTGCACGGAGAACTAGCTTCATGCTTCTCCAGTAACGGACAAGCCATTTCTGATGCTTTTCTGTAACAGTTCCTGTTGCCGACCACAAGTGGTTTAGAGTAATTGGTGTGAAGTTGATTTTGGGTAACAACTACGTCCTTCTGCAATCAAAAGGTCAGGGTATGTAGGGATTCTGAGTTCTTATTATCCCACTTTCTGAAACAGGGCCCAGCATCACATTAGAGTAACAAACATTCTTTAAACTGGAGCAGAAATGACAATATTCTGGATGAATTATTCCAATGTTGTAGAGCTTCAAATTAAGAGGGACTGATAAGCCACTCTACTTTTTTTTTGGTCCTACAGGCAAAAAGAAAATCGCACGGAAGTCCAATGAAAACATCCTCTCTAAATTTTGATTGTTTTCTGAAAAATAAACTGTCTTGGTGGCTGAATTTGACCCAAACTAATCCAGCTCACAAGTTTTGTTTCATTTAATATGTTTTTCTATATGTATGGAAGAGGGAGGGAGGGAGTAAACTGAGCTTTTCTTGCTCAATGATGTGATGTCCTGTATACTGTACCCGTTAAAGCAATAACTATTACAGCATGTTGTTAGGGACAGGAATGCTGCTTTGCTATGAAATCCTAAATGCCATTTTACAGGCCACTTGTTTTGGAATAGTGCCATGGATGTGCTCATTTTTATATGTGGTCAGTGAGCCTCTAAACTAGATCCACCCGCCAGCGGCCAAAATCATTTTTGCCTGCGAGTGGTCTAGCCTCGATCAATGCCCCGGGCCCTAGAACTGGCGAGCCAATCACAACGCAGAGATGTGTTTTGAATTTTTGGATGCAAAGCTGTACAACGCTGGAGAAAGCACAACAAGGAAGATGGCAACAACTATTGAATAGTTCCCCTTTGACTCAGCTTTGGAATCAGTTTTCTTTGAAACGTGAGCAGGAAGAGGCTCTATGCTCATTCATTTTTTAAGAAGGACGTATTCACCGTTTTAACGACAGGCTGTTTGTTTACACTCCCTCACCAGCTTTCTGTCGTGCTTCGTGACTACGTCACAGTCAGTTGCGTTCATTGGTCAGAGCGTTGGGCAATAGGCACAGACATCGTTTGAAAAACAACGGGTTGTTCTCATCAACAATCTTCCGATGTCTAGTTCATCGGGCCCAGACTAAATTACACATTTATTCTCACATTTAGTCTGGTTTATCAGGCTATGTATATAACGCTAATCATTAGTGAAATGATTTAACTGCAATGTCTAATACCTTAAAATGAATTCACCTTAATGTAAATGTCATTAAATATGAATACTGAAAATTCACTTTGATATAAAAAAAGAATGCACTTGTGGAGGAAAAAAATCTTATGACTTGTCACATGTACTCCTGCTTTATTGAAGCAATTATTTCTACCTTAAAAGCAAAACAGCATGGTTGCTAAGAAACAGTGGGTGACTCATCTTGACCCAGTATCACCTACCTCTTTTTTCCCCAAGGTAACTTTTACCACTGTGAGGAATTAAGGGTAGACTGAGCATGCAACTGAGTGATTTTAAATCCCTCCATAGGGTACCAGCCTTCATTTTATAGACATAAATCAGAGTTGGAGACTTAACTGTAAATACTTTTGTCATAGAAGGTTATCTCTATGCACTTATGCATAGTTTGCTGCTTCAAATTTCATATTAATCTATGACAACTTCTGGCAACCTTTTTTTTAGCTGATTTTGACCTTTCTGTTTCTCCCATACTTTTTTTCACTTTTCCTACTTTAGTACATTGAAAATCAAAGATTTAAAGGGTATGAAATATGACCTTTAATAGTATATTAAATACCAGTTGTAAGGCTTACAAAATCAGCTGTTAAATGGTTGTCATTGCCTTTTTGCTGGTTATTCATTCTTTCAGCTATATGAACTAAGCACTTGGGTGTTGAGGTCAGACCAAAGGAAAATCAAGCAGCTGATAATTTGATTTTCTGCTTCATAACCACTCTTATTTGCCATGTGCCATACAGTAAAGCTGGCCGAATCTGTATGTAATTTGCTTTTATGCTCAAATCGCTGAGAGCTGAATTTCAGCATTGGTCCAGTAGAGAGAAAAAAGCTTATGACAGTAATTTCCTGCTGTTAGAGAATAACTCTGTACATATATAAGCATATAAGCAGGGGAACCTTCGGTGCATGATTTCAAACCATGACGTTTTAGTGTATTACCAACAGTACCCTTGGAAACAGTGGTCCCAGCTCTTTTAAGGTAATAGTCCAGCTCCTCCCGTGTAGTTCTGGGATGATTTCTTACCTCTCATTGAGACCCCACGAGGTGAGATCTTGCATGGAGCCCCAGTCCGAGGGAGAGTGATGGTCATATTTAGCTTTTCCCATTTTCTACTGATTGCTCCAACTTTTTTCACCAAGCTGCTTGGTAATTTCCCCGTAGCCCTTTCCGGCCTTGTGGATGTGTACAATTTTGTCTCTAGTGTCTTTGGACAGCTCTTTGGCCTTGCCCATGTCAGTAGTTGGATTCTTCCTGATTCTATGGGGTGAACAGGTGTCTTCATGCAGCTAACGACCTCAAACAGGTGCATCTAATTTATGATAATAAATGGAGTGGAGGTGGACATTTTGAAGGCAGAATAACAGGTCTTTAAGGGTCAGAATTCTAGCTGATAAACAAGTGTTCAACTACTTATTTGCACTGGTATCATACAAATAAACAGTTTAAAAAATCATACATTGTGATTTCTGGACAATTTTAGACCCCTCCATGATTTCTAAGAGGGAGAACTTGCAAAATAGCAGGGTGTTCAACAAATACTTATTTTCTTCACACACACACGCACCCACACACACACACACATATATATATATATAAAATATTTGCTTTACTTTTTTCTCAAAATGCCATAAGCAATTAGGAGATAGAGCACTGATCACTGTTTGTTGTAAAGAGGTAATCTTCTTTTGGACAATAGTGAATACATCTAAATTTTTTTGCAGAAGAAGAGTGGACGAGCCCCAGACCTGTTCTCAAAGCTCCGGCCTTACGTCTGACAAGAGGAGGCTACAGAAAGCATCCCTATGGTAGATACTGAAGGTGCCCTAGATTTGTCACCTCAACTTCTCTTTTTAAGCCTTTTTTCAACTTTTTAAAAAAAAATGTTGTAACATTCTCCATTTCATCATTGGATTTTAAAACAATTATAAAAAAATATATGTGTCATTGTATCCTGCTGTATCCATTAAATTATACACCTTTGAGTCTCTTTAATATTCAACAAAGTCTCCATTAACATGAGGGTTGTTCTTTAAAATAGGTCTTTAAATTACTCCTATTGTCCCTATTGTTGTGATTTCATGGTTGTATGCGATTGTGTCAGATTGGTTTCTATTTATTGGCTTTACTGGAGTTCACAAGCCATCCTTTACTCAATCCACTGCATTAGACAGTTTCATAGAATATTTTCAAGAGGGCCAAAAGGCATTTGTAACATTTGAACATAACAGAAACAGCATGGTAATTTATGCCTCTATCAATATGCTTTCTATTTTGTAATTACCACACAGTGAGCACCCCAGCTGCACCTCCTGTCTCTGACTACTTTATTACTTTTAACTAAGACTTTGTTAATCAGCCATTATATCCATGTACTTTCTTTTATTGGTGTCAGAGAGACTCTGGATGGACAGTAAACATTTATTGCCAGAAAGAGAAATATGTTAGATGCACAATGTTGCAGCTTCAACCACAAATTCCCCACTTCAGAGCAGTAAACAGTGAAGTGTTTTATTCCCACCAGTCCAAAGTAAAAAGCAAGCATCCTTTAGACCATAGCAGATTTATTGGACACATACAAATTTTAAACTATTAGCCAAAATCTATCCATTTTAGACTTACCTCTATTGTCAGATATTTGCTATCTGCTTCTCTGCGACTCTCTTATCTAAAATACCTGATTGAAAGTTAAAAAAAAAATAAAATAAAGACTAATGCAGATAAACTGTTTCCTTGGATATTTAACCAGGAACTTTATGTTCAAAAAAGCACAATAGTAAAAACCCAGAAGACAACAACACTTTGCTCTAAAAAGAAAAAACAGAAAATACTGCTTTAAAGCAACAAATTGAAACCAATCTTTCAAGAATCAAAAAACTGAATGTAAAGAGTCTTGATGAGCTAAACATCATTAATAACTTGTCTAATATTGTGAATCCTAAACTATTAAATAATCAAGTTCCCCTTGAACTTTAAAGAAGTATATAAAGCACTGAAAACTGAAATAAAACGTACCGTTAATAATACTGTAATTTCAGAAAACATTGAAAAAAAACATTCTATTGTTTGGGTTAAAAGCATTTGCCAGTGTGTAATCCATTGAGTGTACATTGTTCTGTTTGCAATCTGTATTTATACATAAAACATTTAATAAAAATAATTTTAACCTCGACCCAGTGTGGAAACTTAATAAATAGTATATAATCGAACTGTAATTTCTTTGTTTGTTTTTCATTTTCATATATATTTTTGTTTGTTGGTTGCTTTCAGAAACCAGCAAAAAATGTTAAAGAAGACAATTAGTAAGTTTGCCCAAAATGATTATTTGATCTTTAATCCAAAACTAATAACTGTCTTGTTGCTATCTGTGCTCTTTGAGTTGTTACATAAACAGATAGTGAATCATACTGAGTTTCCTATGTTTAACGTTTAATAGAGGTTAGAACTCCTCTATTATATATATATATATATATATATATATATATATATATATATATATATATATATATATTATAATAATATCTGAAATATACTTGCCAAATTAAAAGATCTGTATATCAATAATCTGCTTGTATGTCATTAGGGGAAAGAACCCTTCCTACAGAAGTCAGTTGCTATCTGCAACATCTCAGCATCTATGCTAAACTCCTTCTCTTGGTGCATTTCTTTCATGCAATATCTGCATGTTCCAAAGACCACTGCCCATGTCTGTTTAGCCATTTGAATTCTTTTTTGTGATTAGCACACCCGAAGCCTGACTCTGATTAAAGACTGTAGATGATGGGACTAAATGGAAGACTAAACACTAAACAGGTAACCCAGATTTCTAATCTCAATTTAACCATGAACTGCTAATTTTCACTAATAAAAAAAGTAAACCTGCTCAATTTAACCTCAGATTAATCTCCCTCGATTCCTCTAACCACACTCATAAGAGATTCAGCTAAACTTATATAAACGAAATGTTAAATCTAATTTAAAGTCTCTAAAATAATCTGCTAACTAAACATCACTCTTGATAAATAAGTTTCTGAATAAATGCCCTTTTGTTTACATTGAATTGGTTTACTTTTTTTCTCTTTATCATGGAAAGATTGTTTTGTACATCGTACACACTTTTCACTGCATGCAGGCTGTTAGACTGTTATGTTATATAAAAGATATGCAAACTTTATACCAATGACCTGTTCTCTCTTATAGATATTGAAAAACACTGTAGTGTTATGTCTTCAGAGCAGAGAAGAACACAGCAGGTGAGTGGGTAGCACAAAATATGCAATTACAATTTTCTGTCTCTCTTTACATGTTTACAGTTCATGCTCAAAAGTCATCTTAAACTGCTAATTCTATGCAAGTTTTGTGTTTTCTTGTTAATGACTTTGAGATTTATCAGCACTTAATGTTTAGTTACAGCCCCTTAGAAATAAATCCAGTTTTTGAGAAGATGCAACCATACGAGCAATTTATATACAAACAACTCTGAACCAAAAGGAAAATGCTGTATAATTTTTCATTCTGTTTACAAATATAAATACATATAAATATTTACAAATCGATTTTTAAAGTTTTACTGTGTTCCCTGTCTCCATCATGTACCTCTTAATAATATAATAAAAATAATTTCATTTCACAATTTTATAATAATTAGTTTTGGTCTTTTGCATAAAATATAAGTTAGATTCATTGTAAGTACCATAATAGATTTTATCATTTGAAAAGAAAAATAAGGGGTTCCAAAATCTAAATAAGGGTCCATAAATTCACTTTATACAGGGAAAATAAAAGATGAACTTTTTTTATATCAAGTGCTGGATCAAAACCCATGCATAAACCTGGGATGATAATGTTAAAGATTTTGATCAAAAAAAACAAAAAATAAAGGGGGAACCATCAGAGTGTAAATGAGGAGAACGGGATGTAGATCATAAGCAGAGAAATGGAAGGAAACAGAAAAGAACCTAAACAAACAGCGAACTAACCTACAGATGAAAGGGGTGGCATCAGATGCAGGTGTGCTAATTGGGGGATTTAAAACAGCTGTGGAAGAAAAAAAAATTGGCAACCTAAGGAAAGGAGACTAATTAACATAGAGGGAACTCAGCTGGGCTCAAAGGAAACTACAAATCATGGTGGGAGAAATATACACATTTCAGGAAGATTAGCTTAAACACAAAAAGAACAGAATATAGAAAATAAGTAGGGAAGAAAAATGTTATGAATGAAGGTATTTGGCAACTACAGGTAACAATAATTAACAGAAATGTTTGGATATGCCAGGACTTCGAAACAATGATAAAGTCCTCAAAAGAGACCTAATGCAAGGAAACCATTACATAAAGATCATTACATAAATATAAAATTAGTTTTATAAAGCAACTTTTCAATAAGATGTGTGAATTCTTATTACATTTTTTAGATACAGAACAGGAGTGGGAGCTCCTAATTATTTGTTAAATTTGTCTTCGTCTTAATATAAGCTAAAAACTGCTAGAGGAATATGTTAAAATTCCTTACTCTATATCTTTCCCTTTAGCTAAATGAAAGCTTTTTTTTTTTTATCTGCAAGGCCTTTTTGTTTTCTGTATTTGTGTGCAGATAATTTCTTCTCAAATATTATCTGGTAATTTTGCAGATACTGTAAAAAATAATCCCTGAGGCCACATACCTGCTGATCCAGTCATAACTCCTCTTCTGCTCTACAAACCTTGATCCAGATGCATACTCCGTTTTGAAAATGTATGTGAACTAACACCTTAGTTGCTCTGTTGTGCTGATAACACAGGATAGGATTTATGAGCAAAGCTGTTGGAGCAAAGGATGCCGCATCAGTCTGAGCATCTGCTTCATTTTGAAGGGAAATTTCCCTTGAAATCGTGTGTTTAGTTGTGACCGCTAAGGCTCTGCATATCAAAATAGCAGAGGTACAAACCTTGTAGAAAAGCTGCGACGTTGCACATTAAGATCTGCTCAGCAACAGAAAAAACTTTTTACATACACCACCAAACTGCTGAATATTTAAAAAATAAACTTAAATAATTAATAATTAATTTATATATATATATATATATATATATATATATAGGTTTAGTATGTTTTGGTTAATTTTACTCATCGCATTTTTGAAAGAATAAAATGATGAGAGCAGTTTTGCTAAATAAAGAAAAGAATGGAGGATAAAAAGGTATGAGAAATCTTTTTTTTTTTTTCTTCCATCAGCAGATACCAGACTTGGTAATGTGTTATATGCATATTTTAATCAAGTGTATAAATTAATTATTTATAATCAACAAATAGCTTACTACAAAGAAAGTTAGTAGGTACGACACACGACAGATCACTCGTAGCTCTTTTGATCTGATTTTGCTGTAATCTTGGTCTGTTATTTGTGACAACTGTCCCAAACTAGGATCAGTGCAATTAATGGAAACCATCCATCCATCCATTGCTAAAGACCAGTTGGGTCACAACGGGTGCTGGTACCTATCTCCAGCTTTCTACGTGCGAGACGCAGGGTACACCCTGGACAGGTCGCCAACGATGCACACACACACTCACTCCTAAAGAGATGTTTGAACAGCCAATTTACCTAACAGTCATGTTTTTGGACTATGGGAGGAAACCGAAGTATCCGGAGAGAACCCACGCATGCATAGGGAGAACATGCAAACTCCATGCAGAAAGACCCTGGGCCAGGAATCGAAACCGGAACCTGGGTAGCACTGATGCCTTGCATCAGTGCTACCCAATGCTCCACTGAGCAGCTGTTAATGGAAACAATATATATAAAGTTATATAGATACTTTATATATAAGTTCGGCGACAGTGGCGTTGGATGTAGGAGTTTGCCCTGAAATCGAAGGATTGATGGTTCAAGCCCCGACTCCGATTTTCGGTGTTGTTGTGTCCTTGGGCAAGACACTTCACCTGCATTGTCTACTGATGGTGGTCAGAGGGCCCGGTGGCGCCAGTGTACGGCAGCCCCGCTTCTGTCAGTGAGCCCCATGGCAGCTGTGGCTACAATGTAGCTTGCCACCATCAGTGTGTGAGTGTGTGCATGAATGGGTGAATGAATGTAGTGTAAAGCGCTTTGGTCAAGTCTCCTAACTTGAATAAAGGTGCTATATAAGTACAAACCATTTACCATAAAAGAAAGTAAAGTAATAAGCATTCAAATAAAAAAAAACAGGCATATTCTTAACTAATTAATATGGAGCTGATACCCTTTGGTTATGTAGCGGGGTATGATAGGGTTTTGGATACGAAATGGAAGTAAAAGAATTGACTGGTTGGCAGTCCAATCCTGAGCCTTATAAGGATACATAAACAAAATATGGCTATCCATATGTGGCACATATATTGCTTATCAAATTTGTTTACATTGAATTGGTTTACTTTTTTTCTCTTTATCATGGAAAGATTGTGTTTTGTACCTCGTACACACTTTTCACTGCATGCAGGCTGTTAGACTGTTATGTTATATAAGAGATATGCAAACTTTATACCAATGACCTGTTCTCTCTTATAGATATTGAAAAACACTGTAGTGTTTTGTCTTCAGCGCAGAGAAGAACACAGCAGGTGAGTGGGTAGCAAAAATATGAAATTACAATTTTCTGTCGCTCTTTACATGTTTACAGTTCCACCTAGCTGTTAAAACATGCTCAAAAGTCAGTTGGTTTTTTGTTTTGTAGATAGCATTGTTGAAGGAGCTAAATTGTAACTTGGGGGGAAAAACTGTCCAACAGGATGAACTTACCATGAATATTGCTTGATTATGTTGAGTCTAATTTAGAAATTAATATTTCTCTTATGTAGAAATGCAGAAGGAAATCTTACAGCTTTTAAATGATAATTCCAACTGTTCCTGAGATATGTTTACAATATTTATTTATCGTTGCATTACTTTTTGATTTACATACATAAACAATATAACTTTAATTAGAGAGATCAGTGGTGCATCTTTCGTTTTGACTGTCTATGTTTTATGCAATTAAAATTTTTCCCAAACAGCTGAATTTCTCTTGTAGAACATATGAATCCATTTTATCTAACTGATATCTTGTGTCCTTGTTAAATCCCACTGTTATAAACAAAACCACCCAGTTTAAATGGGATACATGAATAAATAAAAGTCAATAAAATACAGGAAAAATTGTAAATTGCCTTTATTTATCGACTTTGAAAAGGCTTTAAACTACAGCAGTCCTTTAAACACTGATGGTGGTCAGCTACGATGCAGATTTACAGAAGCAAGACTGCTGTACAATTATTTTTTTAAAACTCAGGAAACCTTTGCTTTGGTTGGCACCTCTTTTTGGCCCTATCTTGGCTGTCGTCTTATGCATGTTAGATTGTCAATTTGTTTTTGTAATTTCATCCAGGGCTTACAGAAGACACCTGGCTCAAGATGGAAGATTTCTCTCACACATTTTAATCTTCTTCAAAAGGCAAGGTTCTTGGGTAGGTATTTAATCATTAAAATTACTTTTTAAACAATGACTTACAACCTTTTATTGATTAGTAGAAGAATTGTTTTGTTTTTTTTATTGAATGTTTGAATTATTTTGTAAACTTATTTACAGGATATTTTTCATGGTTGTTTTTACTTATTGAAAATAACTGTCACAGGGTGGTAATGAGAAAAAAAAAGAAAACAAGATGTGCTTGATACAAAAGACAATACAAATTAATTTGGATATTTTTTATTCATAAATTTAAATTATAATTTTTATCATAAATTAAAAACATAAATGCCAAAACTAGATACTTTGTTTTAAAGTGTCATTCATAATTTTCTTGTAAAATGTTCCTCAAGCTACATCTAAACCTTTTTGTTCACCTCTGATCTGGAGGGAGTCCATGCATCAGGAAACAGTTCTTGCCAGAAAGAGTCGGCCTCATTTTCACAACCAATCTGTCTCCAGCTGCACATCTATAGTTTTCATAGTTATTTTTTCCATGTCAAAGCTAAAAGTCATCTGAGATACAAATATCCAAATAGTTTAAGTAATGTTTTTTGTTTGTTTGTTTATTTATTTATTTTCTGAAGGATACATTGTACAGTGCTTAGGGTCTATGAAGCTTGTATCCCATCTCTTTGTCATCAATCCATGCATGAACTATGTGGTGATTCTCGTCCATTAGGCATGCCTAGCCAGCATCCTGAGGCACAATAAAACACTGGCAGCTGTTTGTTTTGCTCCCTTGCCAAGTCTATCACCTCTGGTAATGTTGTTTACAATCCACACCAACCTTAGAAAATATGCACATTTAATAATGCTCTAAAAATACTTCATTATTAGGCTTTTGGTTCTGTTAAAAAAAGAAAAAAAAGAAGAAAAAACATTTTATAATAATATATATAATAATAATAATATAAATAATTATTATAATATAAATTATATATATATACATATATATATATATATATGCTTTATATTGTTTTGACTGTTTTATTAATTATTTGTCTAAGTACTTTCCATGTATAGCTGTTAGATTTTATGCATTAGCGACCACTGAAGTGATTTAAACATAGGGATCAATAAAATGTACTATAGTTTTGGCTGAGGTCCCCTTAGATAACAACCTTGTTTCATTAGGATTGAAAGTTGCAACCACTAAAACATCCAGTTCTGGAAATGAGAACATGCCTCCCTATCCTTGAAGTGACCCCAGACAGATTAAACAGATGATATGCTAAAATCCAACAGCCATACAGATTTAGAGACTGGAGCTGGAGCTGTATATCCACCGTGACCCTGACTGAGAGCTGAGTCAGCAATGAATGAGAGTACATTTTTCAAGTGTCTTTTATACAGTGTTTTATTTTGCAATGTTTCCCTTTCTTCTACACAGATAAAAAGTTAGGCAAGCAGAAGCCTGACCGACTACCTGCAGGTGAGTCTCTGACTATTGAAATTGCCCCTTTTGGTGGAGAGGGAAGTGATGAAAGCTTGGCAGGCTAATGCTTCCAGGACCCTTTCAGGAATGATGGAAATAACAGAGGAGGACCAGTTTTCCAGGTGATGGATCCTTTAAACACTCCTTGACTTTCTAAAAGATTTAATATAATGGCAAAATATTTTTCTTATATTTGTGGAAATACTTCTGTTGATTTGTTATTAATGGCATGTCCTCTAAAAGTCAAATGGAAATAAATATGTATGATTGATAGTAAACCTCCCACAGCTTGAGCTAATATCAACACATTCTCTGGTCATGTAATGATGCCATCTGCTCGTGTTGAAAATTTCTGGAAGAGAGCTAGATATCCTCAGTGTGCAGCACTAAGTGCTCGCCAGTTCTGCTAAGCGACTGCAAACAAATAAATGATGCCTGCCAAGTCCTGTGCTAAGTCTCTTATTTGCTTTAGTAATTGTGCACTTTTTGTTCAAAGCATAACAAAAGCTTGTCTGGAAGGGTCTAGGTGAGAGCGATAAGCTTTATCTTACCTCTATATCTATTTCAAGGACGAGTTGATTGTCTTGGGCTAAAAGCTGCATCTCCATACAAAAATGTCACCCTAGATATTGTAAGCTGTTTGACAGATTATAACCAGGGGATTCACAAAGAGACAGCCAGTAGATCTAGGAGAATTACCGAGCTGCATTCTATGCACACCCAGCCCAAACATCAAGTGTTATTTATCATATTCAACAAAAACTATTCACATGCACTGTTATATGATTTTTTTTGTGAATATTTCAAAAACATTATTGTAGAAGTGCTTGAAGGAATAGACTTACCTTATAGAAATTTAAACATCTGCAGGGTTGTTGATGAGAAGATTATTTCTGGTGAAAAAAATAATGTAATCACAGTTAATACAGACTTTATTGCTCATAATAAATGTACAGTGCATTTATATGTGTGTTCTGCATTCAACCCATGCCTAAGGGAGCAGTGGGTAGCATGCAGCACCCTGGGGAGCAAGCCGCAGTCTTGGGATTGAGCCAGATACTATACAGAACTAAAGTAGGTGCTTTTTTCTCAAAGTTTCCTTGTTTACTTGCCGCATTTTAGCTTTAGTTTAATTACTAATGTATCATTTATTGTATTTACTGCTTAAGTCCTGCCCATACTCAGCAGGTAGCTGTTTCTATGCTCTCTCTCCCATACAGTAGCTCCAAGAATAATATCCTTTAATTGCAGCACCAGTTTGGGACTTCATGCTGTTTCTATTTTAGCACATCATCTGGGCAATACCTTATTTTCTGGTTTTAAAAAACAGTTGTGTGATGGGTCAAAGTGTTCAAGTGGGCTTTATTAATTTGGAAAAGCGAAAACATCATCCCTGTTTTTTCCATTACTGCACTCTTCTCAGTTCTGCTCTCTAGTTTTTTTTTTGTGAAGCCGAACAAACTTTGCTCTTTCTACATCAATTAGATAAAAAATACTCCTCAGTTGTTGCAGACTATGCACAAGTCTTTTGGTTGTACTTTTTTTTTTTTTTTTGCTATTACTACTCCCTCACAGTTTTTTTGCATGAATGATTGTGATGGTAAGTGTTGTACTACAACAGCAGTCATGTTGGGGAAAACTGGTTTGTCTGAACCCATCAGTGTTTCAGCTTTGTCAAAATTCTCGCCAGTTATGGTACATGATGCAGCAGCCCTGACCCCAGGTTGGGTCACGGCATCAACTTTTGGAATCAATTTTTTAGCCAAAGAGTTTCAAAATAAAACTTAGTTGTTGTTCTTAACAAAATAAATAAATATATATATATATATATATATATATATATATATATATATATATATATATATATATATATATATTTAAATTAACATTCTTTAACATTCTTCTCAGCCTGCAGGTTGGCCAATTATTTCACACAGGAGATGGCTAAGTCTTAGGTGCCCATATGACTGTATATAACTCCAAACAATTTCCCAGTTTGTTGAAATATTTTTTAAAATCCTCTCTTGAATGTTTAGCTGACATGTGCCTCTCAGTAAAAGACAATAATTTATTTCCTATGTTTGTCTTACAGGAATACTTTGTAAAGGATCGGCTGGAGACCAAGTGGACTTTAAAATGTATATAAAAAGTGCTCTTTTTCAGGCTTGGACCATAAAATATCTTTGGCTTTAGCATCTTTATTTTCCCTAAAATCTGGACAATTATATTCACAATGTATTTTAAGCACAGAAGACAAGCCAATTGTTTGTCCTCATTAAAACTGTCATGTTTTATTAGAATAAAATGAAGAAGATTAGTTTTAATTATGTTACAATTTTTCTGTAAATTTATTTCTAGACATTTGTATGGAAATCACAGAAGATAGAGGAAAAGACCAAGTAATCTACACATACAAGGACCTTAGACCAGCTTTAACATGCTCTGTTTAAAGTACAGGAGTAAGGTCCATTGTTCATCATTTCTAATTTTAAAACTCCAAGCTGTCCTTAGCTTTTGGTCAACTCTTGATATTTATCTGACTTCCTAACTGCATCAGTATGTTTTGTAAAAGTAAAGTCAGACAGATATTAAAATAGGTTCAGCAATTAACGATCATAAAAATGCTTCTTGTGGGATTCCTTTGCTGTGATAAACCTTTGTTTAGATCATTTGGACTAAACCAGCTGACATTCTCTTACATTTATAAGGAGCAGTATTACTTTGTTAACACTGATTTAGACATTTTAGTGATAAGCTATTTTTCTTCATGTGTTTATTTCTTGTTTCCTGTTATTACAGTTTTGTTAAAACAAAAAAGTTAATTATGGACTGATTTGTTTTATCTTTTTGTATGTTTTTTTATTGTTTATTTTGGTTGTTGCTGACATGTGGTGTCACTTGTCAATATCCCCTTCAGAAATAAATCTGCTTAAAATTGTTGACCTCTCAAATACTTATTTTATCAATTATTATCATGTTCTGTTCAATTTTGAAAAAAAAATCAAAAGACTGGAATGGAAAGGTATTTTCGTCTGGCCTCTCCTGTCATTTCTGACCTGACTTACCACAACCGAGTCTGTACCCAGTTCTTGTAATAAATGGTACACTTAGAGCTGCCAACAGGAACATGTTAGTCCATTAAGAAAGTCGAGCCCACTGCAGGCATCCTGGCCAAATGTCACAGCCAGTTTACAAGCCTGCTGGTAAATCCTCCTGCTGCTTCGTGCAGCTTCTCCTCTAGTCATTTCCCCCAGGTCTGCATAATAAATGGTGCTCACTCTAGCTCTAAATAGGCATATGGTAATTAACAGCTGAGATTGATAGAAGCAATACAAGGTGCCCACTGTTCAAATAAATGTTCATAACTGACTTCTTTTTTGAGTTTGTGAGTTCAAATTTGATTTCCAAAACAGTAATTCAGTTTGCTCCTAAAGCAGGATTATCACAATATGTTTGATGTTCCTAACCTGCACGGATAACAAGTCATATCTAATGCTGTAAATCATTGTTTTCTTATTGTTTTGGGTGGAAGTGGATTTCATGCATCCATACCAGGTATCCACCCTCCCCCCTTGCTCTGATGTGTTTAATTCATTTGCTTCATGACACACTCCACACACAGCCTGTTAGGCAGCGTGGCATTTATCTCCCTTGATATTGCTTGATCTAAATCCTGAAAGCTCACAGACACTAAAAGTGGGTCAGGATTTAGACAAACGCCCTGTTGTAGCATTAACTAATGCACTGAGGCTTTCTCCATCAAGGACAAGTACCTGAGCAAACTCAGCTCTGTTTGGACAGCTGCTCGAGGAGACAGAATAGAGAATGAGGGTTTATAATCACAAGAAGAGGAAAAGGGCCTCTTCAGCATCATGGCACTTCTGACAAAATAATGTCTGTGCAGATTCAGAAATCTGCAGTGCCTGTGAATGATGTTTAGGTGTGTTTTTTTTTCACTTTCCAAAAACACTGACATCTAAGCTAGGTGACAGTAAGGCTGTAGTGCTTAACTGACAATTTCCAGGGCAATGTGAGCAAATGTAGTTAGAATACTAGATTGCATTCAAGCTTAACAGTCAGTCAGTGTTTGCTTTCTGTCCAAAAGCCTCATTAGAGCTTGTTTACAGATGTGATGAGTTCTGACATATTGAGTTGCTCTGTGCAAATGGGAAAAACTAAGCAGCAGAATTGCTCAAGTTATGTTTTTGACTAATGAGAGATTGCATTGCAAATGCAGTTTAATGCCTTCTAATGAATTTGTTGAAATTTGCATCTAGATTTAAAAAAAAGTTGTTTTAAATGTTGTGCTATCATCTCCTGCAGTTTACCATACTTAAAGAAAAAGAAAAAAACAATTGGGATTTCAGAAAGGTTGTTAGTATAGCGGGGTTCAAACAAAGAACAGATCCATACTCATGTCAGAACCATTAATTCTGTATGTTTTACTAATCAGAGCCTTAGTCTTCACGTTTTTGGCTAACATTATGAAGTTATAAAGGATCTGTGGATAATATTTTTCTGTCTTAGAAATTGTTTTACAAGCTCTTCTTCTGGGGAAAAATTGTCCCCCTGCTTAGTTTAAAATATGACTTTCTTTTAGTCTATTTTATGTTTGGTGATGGATTTGCCCCTATCTTAATTTATTCAGAAATGAGGAAGGCATGAGCAATTTTCAGACTACTAGTTTACCTATCATCAATGATTAGTCAGTCTATTAGAGTGCTATATAAATTATGACAAACTTACTTAAAGTAAAGTATTTTTTTTATGGAGTTAGGAGTGTAGGCTTTGATAATTAATGATAGTCAGATTGTTAACCTTCAAACTTTGGTTCCAAAGGACTTAATGATAAATCTCTTTGAAGCATTTCTTATAAAGGGCATGTACATTTTTTTGCAAGTCTAGCCTTTTAGTTGTGCTAAGGCTTGTGGCTCACAAAAGTTCAACATTATATGTCTGATTTAAAAAATATTTATAAGTGTGAAAATACATGACCACAAAGAGGTTGAGGACATTAGCAGCAGAAGAGTGATGATGTTGTGTTTGGAATGCCAAACCCAGGCAATAGCATATAACATAAACACAAGAAAGATTTGTGATAAAAAGAAAAAGCCTCCAGCAAGAATTGAAGATTTATAAGAGGGATTTATTCGACAAGAAGGATGAAGTCCTTAGAGCAGCTTTGAGAAATAACAACCTGACACCCTATGGAATGATTTAAAATATCTCTTTCTCTAACCCAATCTCCCTGCAATTTGCACAGCAGTAAATTACAGTTTGTTACAAAATCTTTAACTAAATGTTAGCATTCAGGTAGATGTAATGTCAGCTCTGTTCTGACCTAAATCATGTTGAACAATCATTTTTTTGTGAAGCAAGTAGTGTATATATGGGAAACAGAAACAATGGGGGATGGGAGGACTAATTATCTGATGGGGAGCAGGTGTAGACAGAAGTGACCAGAAGGAGATAAGGGAAAGGATCCCAGCAAAAGGGGGCAACAGAGAGCAACTCAAAAAATACAAGACTGCTTAAATATAAAACAAAAATGGAAAAGAAACCAATGAACAAGAAAACACAGAAACATAAATCAAAGTGGAACTGAATACTTATAAAAAAAAACTCAAACAGAAGTGTACAAAGGGAGAACCATAACAGTTTCATCTTTTTAACTGATGCATAGCTGCAATAGATTTTCCTTTGTCAAAGGTTAGAAAAGAATGATCTGCTTTAAGAAAAATGGGAAAGTCTTATGAAATGTAGGTATGGTTTCATGGCTCTAAATTATGATACTTGTCCTTTTAAAAGTTTAAAAGAATATTTCCTTAAATTATCCTTTTACATGTGTATTCACTCCTTCCACGTTTGGTCCACTTTAAACAGCACAGCATGTCGGCTCCCTTAGTTTGTTGCACACATTTGCCATTCATACCATTCCTAAAAGTAGACATACTGTACTTAATCACAACACCTTTTTAAATGCTTTTGACATAATCATTTGAAGCTGTACTAAAAGAAAAAATAAGAAGGACAGAAATGCAGCATGCAGGACCACAATGATAGTTTTCTCCATTTTCAGGTTTGTGCTCAGTCCAATGAGAGCAACAGTGTCACATGCATGGCTTTCACCGCAAGTAGTAGTTCACTTACAAAATAACAACAATGTAAACTCCACCAAACAAATCAATAAGCAGACATTAGAAATGCCTGGTGTGAAGACTCAGTTAATGTCCCAGGAATATACT